CCCTCCTCTCTGTGGCAGCCCCTCAAATATTGGAAGACTGTGATCATGTCTCCCCTGGTCCTTCTCTTCACTAGACTAGCCATGCCCAGATCCTGTAACTGTTCTTCATATGTTTTAGTCTCCTGTCCCCTAATCGTATTGGTTGCTCTTCTCTGCACTCTTTCTAGAGTCTCCACATCTTTTTTTTATAGTGTGGTGACCAAATGTCACGGTATGATGTCATGGTACACCTAATGTCATGTGTCTCCCTTGTTCTACTCCATCCTGTGGCTTGCCCATGAAAGGGGCAATCAGAGCAGGTGGGAGAAGCAGACCTTCCTAAGTCAATTTCCTGTGACACAAATCAGTTGCTTATCCTTCTGATTTGGAAAGCCAAATCTGGCTCTAGGTTCTGCCTCAGTTTACCCTCCCAAGAAGCAACTGAGTTGGAAGATCATTTAAAAGCATTTTATTAAGGTACCCTGATAAAGTGGGGTCTCTCTGTGTAAAAGGAAAAGATAACCTTGAGCTCCGTGTTCCTCTCCTTTTTATACTTAACAAAGAAAATGCGAGAGAAAAGTTGATTGGACAGAATAAAAGTAACTTCTCCTTTTCATAGGAAATCAGTTACATGTAATCAAACATGTTACATATTTGCCTCTCATCATATCACACATGCTCATTAAAATGAGGCCTGCCGTCAGAAGGGGTGTAATTGTAAGGAAAAAGGATATTTATAGCATTCAGGAAAGAGATAAGCCAGATCCCAGGTTGTACTAACAAACTTCTCTTATCTGGACCTAGTCTGCAGCTTGCTTATCAGTTTAGGAATGTTAAATGCTAATAAATCTGGCCATCATTTTTAAAGAGAGAAAATACATCCAATGAAAATGCCAAGTAACTATGTTAGATAACAAATGACAAAAACCCATGTCATTTGCCCCTCAGTTTGCCATCAAAAGTTACCGTATTTTTGGGAGTAAAAGATTCTTCCCCCCCCCCAAAAGGTGAAAATTTGGGGGCATCTTATACACCGAATGTAGCCCGACCCACCCCCACCAGAGGCCGAAAAGGCGAGGCATGGAGGCAGTGAAGGTTTGTGGCAATCCCTGCAGCCTGGAAAAGCTGATTGGGGGTATTCCGGCAGTCCGATCCACCTGCCAATCAACTGTGCCGAATCAGGTTGCAATAAGTGCTGAAGCTGACCTGGCTGGTCAGAGTTTGCAGCCGCAATCACATTCAGGAAGAACAGTAACTGATTCAGCAGGATTCAAAATAATAATAAGGTGACCAGATGTCCCGATTTCAGCAGGACAGTCACGATTTCTAACAATTTGTCCCGTGTCCCGGGACGTTTTAAAAAAGTCCCGATTTT